TAATGAAAATTGAGTCAAGGTTTGGTGTCTTTTAATACTTATGGAAGTCAGTATGGGATGAGTGAATATTTTTTTGCAGTTCTTTTGGGATTGAAATAAAGAACGAGTTGAAAATTTCTGAGATTTTAACTGGGTCATGTATAATGGTGTTGTTTGAAGATATGTAAGATGAGTATGAGATATCATCTAAACATAAGTTTAAGTCAATTAATATATGTACATTCCAATGCCGTTATCTAAAAATAAATTAAGGTTAGAGTATGGGGTTATTAGGAAAAAATACATATATACTTTTATATTAATATAATTTTTATTTTTTATTAATATAAAAACAATGCAAAACAATAAAAAAATCTAAAAAATAAAAACGATAAAAAGTTTTTTTGGTAATTTTAATAATTTAAATAACTTTTGGACACTGAACATATTTTAAAAAAAGTAAAAAAATATTTAGAAATAAAATATATAAATACTTTTTGTACTTTTAAACATCCTTTTTTACATTTGAATTAAATAGTTCTTGATTGTAACTAGTTACTAACCTATTAACTAAATTAACTAGTTTATGGTTTACATTTTATTCTTGATTGTATGAGCAATAGCTAATTTCATGCTTCACTTGAACTTACTGGTGACAATTTTTTTGAATATAAAAAGTAAAAATAATAACAAATTAAAATTTTTTCAAAAATGGAAAATTAGTGGATTGTAACTGAAAAACCCTCTAAAGTTTAGAAACATATTTTAAATCATTCAAATAATTTTTCATGAACAAAAACTCCTCATCAACATTTCAACAAGCAGCCACAAGCTCAGTAGTTTATCATTTTTGAAAATTAAAAAAAATATATTTAAAAACTTTTAGAATTAGAGAAGCAACAAACAGTTAAGAAAATCTTGATCAAAATGGTCTTGATGACTGATAGTCTTGGATTGATGACTGATAGTCTTGGCTTGACAACTGATTATTGTCTTGGCTTGACAACTGATCTATTAGACAAAGTTAGACTTTTTAAATCGAGCGTTCTCAGTTAAATTTCTCGGGGTAAAATTAGATGAACATATTAGCTGGAAAGACCACATTAATATATTAAAAAACAAAATATCTAAAAACATTGGAATTATGCATAAAACCAGATATATTTTAAATAATGCATGCCTTAAAAGTTTTTATTTTGCATATATACATAGCTATATTAACTACTGCAATATTACCTGGGCTAGTACCTACTAATCTAGATTTAATATATAAAATACAAAAACAAGCGTGTCGTATATTAACAAACGCAAATAAAAATGCCAATTCTAAACATTTAATGAGGGAACTGAGAGTTCTTAATATCTACGAACAAAATATATATTGCATACTTCAGTTCATGTTTAAACTCAAAAATGATCTGGTCCCTGAAGTCTTTCATAACGATTTTCACCTTATTAATCACAAATATCAAACAAAATACTCTATCAAAAACTACTATATTCCGAAAACCTCTTTAAGACAATCTAGATTCTCAATATCCAGCAGAGGACCCCAATTGTGGAACTCAATTCTAACAAACAAAATAAAAACAATAAACTCATTCCAACATTTTAAATGCGTTGTAAAGCAACAGCTACTAGACCTCAACATTAATGAATCTCTTATTTTTAAATGCGTTGTAAAGCAACAGCTACTAGACCTCAACATTAATGAATCTCTTATTTTTAAATGCGTTGTAAAGCAACAGCTACTAGACCTCAACATTAATGAATCTCTTATTTTTAACTCTTATATTTAAGATTGTTTTTCATTTTTTTTTTCTTTCACTTTTTCTTGAAATTCTTTTATATTACTTGCTTATGAAGTTCATTGTAAAAAAAAAAAAAAAAAAAAAAAAAAAAAACATGTATTATAAATATTGTATTTGGTTTATATTTTATTATATTTTATCAACGACAAAAATGGGGCAAGATGATAAGACTATTGTCTTCTTCTTGCTCTAGTCATATATTTCACGGTAAAATGTTGTACAAATTTATATTAATAATGACGAAATATATATATATATAATATAATAATAAATAGCCTTAAGGGATATTCAGCGTAAATTAGGTGTAAAATGTAAAATATATAGGTTTTGAACCATGTTTTTTAGACAACGAAAAGTGTAGCCATGTTTATCTTTTACTTTTAATGTAAAAATCTACCCGGAGTAACAAAAAAGTAAAAAAAAAATATGTCTCTTAAATTAATGTGGCTAAAATTGCCCCTTAAAGTAGCAATTGCACTCCATGCTCTAATATTTTCATAAAATGGACCAAATTTTTGGACCTAAAATCTATAATTTTCAAAACAATTGACTAGTAGCCTAATTTCATTGTTATCTACAAAATATCTGAAAATAAAGACAATTTGAAGAGGTGTTTTTCAGAAATTGACTAATTTGTCAATATTTCTCAGGCAACAGTTTGTTGTATATAACAATGGTAAGAAATTATATAAGAAAGATCAATCATCCAAAATAGGATGAAATGCAGTTTCAGTTGTGAACAAAAAAGAACTTTGACTTCGAAAAGCTGCTGATACATATGATATATTTAAATTTACTCTACATTGGCATATCATGGTAATAAGCCAGCTCATCAATGTTACCAAATAATATATTTATTGTTTGGTAAAATTTTTTAATATTTTTTGCGTGATTTATGTGATCCATAATATTTTTTGTTTAATTAAAAATTTAGAAGTAGTTACCAATTTAATAATATATACTAACAGTGGCGGCACGAGCATTTTTTGGTCTTTGTGATAGCTAACTTCCAGACATGGAGCAAACTCCAAACGTTTATAAGTTTATTAGTTAATTCTAAGTTTCATAGTATGATCTCAGCGTTCAAAAATTATGACCATAGCCTTGGCTTGATAACTGATAGTCTTGTCTTGATAACTGATAGCCTTCTTTTGATGACTGAGAGTATCAGTGAGATACAGAAATTTGAAAAATTTTTAAATGTTTATTAAATTTTGTCACTTCTGTGATATTCATCATACTGTTGTTGATGTTCTTTACAAAAAAAAAATATTTTGAAAAATTTGAAGCCAATTATAACTGGAATTTTTATTACCAAAGGTAATAATAATGACCAAGAAAGATTTAAAAAGAGTTAAACAATAACAATAATAAACAATCTCTAACTAAAAAGATAATCTCCAACCAAAAAGATAATTTCCAAATAAAAAGATTATCTCCAACCAAAAAAGCTTAAAAAAGTTAAGCTTAGCTATTTCTTTTTTGCTATTTTAATTTGTGGAAGCTGAAGCATGGTTTAGTGTAACTGGCTTACTCATTACTAAATTTAGAAAATCCTTAAGTGATGAAATAACATGTTTTTTAGCATCATATTCAATAAAAAATGAATAGTTTTTGTGCTGAAGCAAATTATTTTATTCATAAAATATATAATAACAAACTTAATTAAAACATTTGAATTATTCAAATAACTTTCCAAAAATTATTCATTTTTAATAATTAAACTTGTCCATTACTTGATCAGCCCCAGACAACTTAATATTGAATGTTTTAAATTCATAAAAAACAATTTTTATGGCATAAATATTTTTTTTAATTAATATAAAATCGGCATGTTTAGAAATGATGTCAGAAATAGATGTTTAGAAATTGTGTCAGTAACTCAGTTTCAGTTTGAGGAAGCAACAACAGTTCTTAGTGTTTATATGAACACCATATGTACAGCTCTCAGTGTTTATATGAACACCAGTGTTTATAACATGGTCTCAGTGTTTATAAGAAAACCATGTGAACAGCTCTTAGTGTTTATATAAATACCAACTTAAATTTTTTGTTTTTGCAGATGGGGTGTTCAATTCAGCTTTAGAAATGGTGGATCACAAAATTCTCCTTAAAATGTTATATTTCTATGGTTATGGCTTGATGTACTGCTAATAATTCATTTACATTGATTATTCTAAACTGTACTAAGTCTGTATTAATTAATGGTTTTGAATCCATAAACAAGTTATTTTAAATATGATGTTCCACAAGGTTCTGTTCTTGGCCTTTACTATTTTTGATTTACATTAATAATTTACTTCTCTCCATAACCATTGAACATCATTTTTGCTGATGATACCAATTTTCTATGCATTAATAAGCTATATTGACAACTTTGTAGAAAAGTTAATTCAGAATTCCATTTTTTTTGCATTGGCTGGATAGTAACTGCATTTCTTTAAACAAGAAAAAAATAGCGACTAAATTTTTCACCACCCCAAAAAATGTTGTAAATATAAAAATTAAAAGTAAAAGACTTTTACTAGTTAGGTACATAAAGTATTATGGAGTATTTCTTGACAAAAACTTATCATGAAACTATCAACTAAATCCTTTAAATAAATAACTCACACAAGCCAATACAATGCTGTCTTTAATATAGTTCTGTGTTTCCTAACATAACATATACATTAGATCAATGTTGATCCATATATATTGACTTTATTTAGGTGATATAATTTTGGGTTCAATGTTATTAACATTGAATAAATGTTGATCCATATTCTCCATTATTATCCATATTATCCATATTCATTAAATCAATGTTGGGTTATATATATTAGATAAATGTTGATCCATATACATTGAACTAACATTGGTTATACATTGGATCAATGTTGGGTTTAGATCATAAAAGTGACCAACTTTTGCTATTTTTACATACATTGGATCAATGTAACTGCACAAAGTGTTTTTGGTTGCGCCAATATTAATCTTTTCTTTGATACCATTGCTACACATGACATTTTTTTAGCACTTTAAAGTCTTTAATTTTAGTAATAAAAAATAATAATACAAATAATACATAACAATATTTAAATTTGTTTATAGCTTATATTATTATATCATATTTTACTATTTATTATATTTAATATTTTTATTACTAACTTTTTTTTCGAATAAATTTATAACAAGTTCTGAATGTATTTATAAAATACTAATTCATACTTTTAATTGTCCATTTTGAAGATCCCAAACTGATATACATCCTTCCTTTGAAAATGATGGATCATAGCCAGAATACAGTTTTTTTTTCACTTTACTATTCTTTCTAGGATATTTAATTTGAGAATTCGATGAACTGCATGCAGCAGTTGTTGAGTTAGGACTACAGACTAATAATATGATTCTAAAAAATAAGTATGTTTTAATAAAAATTGGAATAGATTTATTTGCTAAGTTATATATATATATATATATATATATATATATATATATATATATATATATACGCATTCACATATATACCGTTATATATATATATATATATATATATATATATATATATATATATATATATATATACGCACATAAAAATAATTGTAATTAAGTGAAAAAAAAAAGTTACTTTTTGAATTGAGAGCTTACAGTAGCTTCCCACAAAAATTTCTTAGTGCCAATATCATAAACACTTATTTGACCATCAGAACGACCAAGAAGCAGCTAAAAAGATGAGATCTGAATAGCCTAGAGTAAGTGAAAAGTGAAAATAAGAATGTGCACAAAAAAAAAGATGAAAAAATTGTACTTTATTTTCTGTAAAGGGAAGCCAATCTACTGACAGTATTTCCATGTCCAAACTAATAGTTGAACTTGAAGAGATATTTGGATAGCATGTCCATACCCTGTTATAAATAGTAAAAAAATTAATTTATAATATCTATATTTTTATGTAATAAAAAAGAAATTTCAAAAAAGATTTCAGAAACATTTAAGTAAAAATGATTTGGTTAAGTCCAGTTTTTCTGGAACTTTATCTTTGATTTTTTAAGAATAAAAAAAATACAAAATGGGACGGTAAGAAAACTTTTATAATGAAAATCTTATTTTTCACAGAAATCATCAAACTCTATCACATCTAGTCTTTAAAATTTTAGTAAAAAATATTTCACTTTTATTAAATGGACCAAATCTTAAATGAGCCAGAACACTAATAATTGTTGAATTTAAAATTGTTGTAAAACCAGATCAACCAGTAAAAAAGACCGCAATTTATCATGTGATGTTGTTTCTTTTACAGATTGGTCTTGCTGTACATGCTCAAGGCATTATGGTTAAAACCATATTTTTTATTTTATGACTTATAATTTATAAGTTAGCAAGGAGAAAACTTTGAATCACGCTCCTGAGCACTTCTTGATGTAGTCTTTATCTAAAAAGAAGCAAGTTATGCAAGTTAAAAAATGGTTAAAAAGTTAAAAGTTAAGCAAGTTAAAAAATGAAAATAGAATTCATTTGAGAAGACTGTTTTTAGAAAATAAAGAGGATTTAAAATAAAGTTCTAGAATAAATTCATTATTAAATGAAAGTAAACAAGTTTTGAAGACTTTGGATGAAGAAATTCTAGACTTATTAGCGTACGAAGATGAAATTTCAACCGAAATTGAAGATGGTTGCTCATTGAGTGATGATATATCCATGACAATTCGTCCATCACTCATAGAGTGATGATATATCCTTGATGATTTGTCCATCACTCATAGAGTGATGATATATCCATGTTGATTCGTCCACCACTCATAGAGTGATGATATATCCATGATGATTCGTCCACCACTCATAGAGTGATGATATATCCATGATTCGTCCATCACTCATAGAGTGATGATATATCCATGATGATTCATCATCATCACTATATGAGTGATGGACAAATCATCGACGACGAATCAATGAATCATAGAGTGATGATATATCCATGATGATTTGTCCATCACTCATGGAGTGATGATATATCCATGATGATTTGTCCATCACTCATAGAGTGATGATATATCCATAATGATTTGTCCATCACTCATAGAGTGATGATAAATCCATGATGATTTGTCCACTCAAAACGATAGCATGGAAAGGTTTTTGGAACCAGGTTTCAACTGCAATTGATAGAAATGATGATCTTTCAGACATTGAGAAGTCCAATTATTTTTAAACCATTTCTTACTGGTAAAGCACAAAAAGTAATTGAAGGATTTACCCTTAATCAGATTATTTATTAACAAGCAAAATAAATTTTAAAGGACAGGTTTGGTAATTCTCAAAGTTTGATAGCTGTTTATAATCATACAATTCTACAATCTGCTAAAGCTACAGTTGAGAACCCAGAACTTAATCTATCTAGTGGCGCTAGATTTTTTTTTGATGGAAGTAGCCATAGAACATGCATTACCGATACATTACATGATCGATTGAAGTTGAAGAAGATATGTACAGAAAGTTTAATTATTAAAAGATTTGCATCTGATGAAGGCTTAATTGAAACCCTAGATGTTGTTTGTATTTGTCTTAAAGGCAGAGACTTAAAGCCTAATATTCACATGGAAGCCTTATGTATTCCATTTATATGTTCACCTTTAAAGATTCCAAACATCCATTTTTTACACCAAAAATATATGTATTTAAAAGGAATACTATTAACTGAATCACATTTATTAAAGTACATTGAATCTATTAAAATCTTAGTTGGTTTGGATTATTATTCAATAATTACTGAAAAAATCATAAGAAATTGCAGAAATGGTCCAGTTGCTCTTGAAAGTGTTTTAGGGAGAATTATTTGTAGGTCATCTGACATTGGTGCCCAAGAAAACTTTATTCAAACAAATTTGATAGCAACCTTACAATAGAGAGATGATGACCATCTTAACTGCATACTTTATGTATGCAGTTAAGACTATTACATTTTTGAAATCGACAAAGTCAACTAAAAGTCGATTTAATCGAAATATAGAAATAATTTTTTTTTTAATAATAAAGTAACTTATATTCGCTTTTTATTTTTTAACATCATACCATTTAAATATTAATAGATATATAATATTAAAACAATATGAGAGAAAAGCCAATTCAAAAACGGGTTGGATCAGCTTTTTATAACTATAACTATTAATTCCTTCTAAAATTACAAAAATCTTCAAAACTATTGGCTACTATTTTTTAGTATTTAAAAAAATTATTTTTTGCTTTATGTACTTTGTAAAAAGTTAGTATCACACATGTGCTGATTAATCTACTTTTTAAATAAATGCAAAAAGAAGGGTATTTTAAACCTATAAATAATTTATAAATAATTACCATCTACAAAAATTATAATACAATATTACTAATAGTTAGTTAAACTGTTAGTAGCAAGGTAAATAACCTTAACCAATTTTAAAATTAAATCATGAAATGTGCTAGAAAAATTTTTCTTACTTCAGCACTCCGTCTGCATCAAGACTTGCAATAGAGTTGCTTTGAGAAGAAAACTTGCAACAAACAATTATTGCATCATGTTCTTTAAATTCATTCTAAAACAAAAAAACCCTTTAAAGGAACAAAAATAGTCAATTAGTAATAATTAATTCAAGTAAACTGCTTTAACAAAATAATACATAAATTTAAGAGATTACAAGCTTGGTCTTTATTTTGTTTTTACTATATATCTCATAACATTGAGATCTACTGTATATCTCATGCTCTTTTAGAATATATCTTTATAAAAATTTTAAATGAATCAAGTTGGTTCTAGGTAAAAAAGAAAAAATAAGAAAAAACTATTACTGTCTTCTTGTTTTAGTTTATTAATATTTTGACAGTCAAAGAATGTAAATAAATATCACAAACTTGAGCTTTGTTTGTTTTTTAACATTTTAACAGAGTTAAAGAATAAGAAGACTTAAAAAAAACCTGTACAAATGTAAACAACCATACAACCGTATAAAATTGTACAAATCAGAAAAAAACAAAGACAAAAAAAAAATTCCAATGAAAAAAACTAGACGAATAAAACTTTGCAGCTAGAGCTACATTTACAAGTTTCAGACTTAGTCTTATTGAAAAAGGAAAAAATTAGAAGAACAAATATTGTAACAATATTTATACAAAGTCAAATGAAAAATTTATAAGACTAAAGAAATCAGAGATAAGAAAATGCACTATAACAAAAAACTTAACAGACACAAATGTTTCAATGGTTGCATAAATAATATGATTGGTCCATGAGAGGTCAACAGTGATATATGATTGGTCCATGAGAGGTCATGTGTCTCATTATGAGAGATCAACAGTGAATGATAATCAAAAAAGACAAAAGTTTTTGGGTTTTCTTGTTAATTTTACATTACTAAATAAGGAAATAGTTTGAAAATTTTGTGTTTAGAAAAGAAGAAAATTTCTTGTTTTGAAGTATTTTGTCAACTTTTTTTTTTTTGGCATTATTTTTTGTTGTTTTATTTTGTTTGTTGTTTGATTTTTGGTATTGTTATTTCATTATTCTAATTTGAGATTGTTAAATCTCAAATTAAAATAATGAAAAACAATCTCAAATAAAAATAATTAAATAATAAAAACAAATTCGTTGTTGACAAATTTGTTTTTTCAACTTTGACTTTTATATCACTTTAATAGTATTTTATATTATATATAGGATCTTTTCTATCTTGCTAAATTTAATTCAAATATTAAAGTTAGCAGAATTTGGAGTAAAGGAACTGAGTAAAACTACATCAACTTTGCTCACTGCTGAAAGAGTATACTGACATTTTTGTTTATCCAAAGTCAACAACTTTGATACTGTATCAACAACAACTTTGATACTGTAGTTAGAATTAAGATTCAACAATTTTAAAAAATTCTTTAGATATGACAAAAGATTATTGAAAAAACCAGCTAGCTAATATAATTAATATTAAATTTATCAAAAGCCTTTAATAAAGTCTGGCTTTATTAAAAGCCTTAAAGCTTGCTTTATACCTCTAAAAACAACCCTCACAAAATTCACTTTATGTAGTCATTTTTATAATATTCTTAAATTTTAACATGAGTTAAATTTACAAAATCATATATATATAGTTTTAACTATAGTTTTTATTTTCATGTTTAAAACAATGCCGAATTTATTAAAGCAAACCTTCCAGGAAGATATAAAAAAAATATTTTGCAGATTTTTTGTAGCATAAAAATCTTTACCAAAATTAAATCTCTTATTTTTGAAATAAAAAAAAAACAAAAAAAAAAACAAGACAAGTATGACTAATGGAGTGAAAATAACAAAATTAGCTGTAATTTCTAATTAAAAAGATGATTGGAATATATGGCTGTAAATTACAAAACAGAAATCTTATTAAAAAAATCAATAAAGAGAATAAAAACAATAATACAAAAAAAAATTTACTAAAACTTACATTACTTAATATAATGAATGGAGCATTATCTTCTGCATAAAAATGTATTTTTTCTACAGTATCTAAAGGAACAGATTCATCTGCATTTTGAGATGACTGTTTGTTTGTTTTTTCAACAGTGTCTATAAAATTTATGTCTTCATTAGAGACTGGAACTTGTTCGCTTTTAATTAGAGACGGTTTTCGCATTGAATTTTCTTCAATTGATATTTGTTTTGCACTGTTTGCTTCTCTTTTTGTTTGCTTTGTCTCTTTTTCTTTGGAGCCTAAGAACTTCCACGGAACAAATCTTGGTTTAGCTGCTTGTAATTTTGTTTTGGATTCTCCAGCTCTGTAACAAAAATATGTTATTCCCTTTCAATTATACCATTATAAATATCAATGATTGAGAAAACTGTTGAGTAAACTACTCTTACTTTTGAGTACTTTCTATATCACAATCATCTGTTTGGGTAGCCACACTATATTTTCCGAGGAGGGTTTGTGAACGAAGCCTATTCAGTTCTTTTTCATAGTTCAAAACTTGAATTTGAAGTCCTTTGTTTTCCTCTTGAATTAGTTGTAACTTATTCTTCTCTTTTTCGAAATTAAGCAAAACCGGCAGCGCTTTGTTAAATTAAGGAAAATATGAAAAAGAAAAAAACACAACAAAAGTTAAAAATTCTAATATCCATGTCATAGTATTCAAGACAAGATCCCTGTTTTAACAAAACAAATAGTGATAAAAAAAATGGTGTACTTTTTAATCAAAACTAGAATATATAGTTAAAAAATATTAATCCAAATATCATTAATGCAAATGATTTTTTAATTCAATTTCAAAACTTTATTTTATGTTGGTATTTACACATGATATACAATGATATACACACATAAAGATCATTAAAATGTTACAACTGTCAAGCCAATTACAATTAAAACCAATAAATGTTAAAACCTATATAAAAAGGTTACACTTGTTTCAGAGAATAGAAATAATATTACTCAGGACTTGTTATCTAAAGTGTCTCAAAGCAAAGTACCTCTGAATTAAGTATAGCATGAAAATTTGGAGCTTTTTGGAGGTAGAATTATTTTTTTGCTAGAAAAAGGTTTATTTTTTATAATGAAAAAGTTCTGGGTTCAATTGACTTAAAAACTGCCATCAACTGATGGAAAATCATACAAAAAACTAACAGTTCTATTTGTGTTAATAAGGTAAAACTAGCATTAAATACATTGAAACATTTCACAACTTGGAGGTAAGCTATTACTGTAGAGTGGTAGCCCTCCTACAAAAGAATTGGAATTAATGTATACAATTAACTACAGAAATCAGCAAGAATTCATAGGCCCTAGAGCAGGCAAAAATAGGAGTAACCTATAATAGGAGTAATATAATAGTACAATAAAAGTAATATGAGTAAACAAATTTTTATTCATCAATAAAGATTTGTTTGACAAAAAATACGAAAAAAAAATTGTTCAAATGATTAAAATTACTTTAAGTGTGGTCATAAGCCAAATCAAACAGCAGCATGACAATTAGATCAACGATCTTAGAGACTAAATCAATGATATAACCTTTAAGCCAACAACAGCAGTTAATCATTCTTATCTCGATATAGCAAAGCGAAACATTTATGTTAAACTGGTAGCAACTGAAATAAAAATTAGAAAAGAGAGAAAGTTAAATATAGTAGTTGTAGGTCTTAAAAAGTCCAAAAATAGAAGTTATGAAAATCTTGTAAAAGAGTTTTTTGAAGCTATTGAAGTAAACCATGAGGAAATTCTTCACGCTTGTCATTACAAAAAAAAGAAACAATCGGGCAAGCAATCACCAGAACATGAATCAGGACAAATAAGATCCAACTGGTGTAATAGAAGTTGTGTTCAAATCAACAGATGTACAAGACGATCTAGCAAAAGGCAATTTCCACCAAGAGGAAGCATTCAGAGGAGTATACACTCAAGAAAACCAAACAGATGCACAGTAAGAATCTTTTAATAAACTATATAACCAAAGGAAGCAAAAGAATAAAGACCTTTTAAAAGTTAACCTGAACAAACCCCTTTTAATGGATCATCCACAGACAGACCACATCTGTGCACTGCATTGACACAGCCTAATCTACCAAAAATAAAAAGTGTGTTTAGATTAACAAAGAACAATCAACTCTAATCAAAACAGCAGCAACAAGAATCAATAAAAACTACCCTTAAGTCCTTGCCACAACCATTGTCAACACCACATTGACCAAGACCATTGGCGGTTGCCTGTAAACCAAACCAGTTACGCTTGAGTGTAAGACAAGAGTATAAAGTTGATTTGTCAGCAGGGGTGTGTAGAAAAAAAATAAAATAACGGCTCCGACTCCAGTTGTTGAAATTTTTTTAGTACAACTCCGACTTTAATTCTGACTACAACTCCAACTCCAAAGCAAAATTTTTGAAAAATTTTTTGAATTCTTAAAAAAATATTATGCGATAAGTTAAAAATTTCTTTTTTGACAAATTATGAAACGTTATTTGAGGGTTAGTATGAACATAAGGTTAGTTAAATGTTTTGTAAATGCATGTGCAATACCGAAAAGTTTTACTATTGGAGTTGGGTCGCGATTTTGTTTAGCGACTCCGACTCCGCTAATAATTTCACAACTTCGCAACTCTGACTCCAGCTACACAGCTCTGGTTGTCAGGAAATAGAGTCACTTTAGATGTAAAAATTTCATGAAGATCGATATTGTAGATAAGAAACAAAACAGAAACAAAGATAAAACCTTATGGTACCTTTAAAGTTACTTGAAATAAAAGAGTGTAAGCCTTTAAGTATAATTTTAATACTACAGTTAGAAAGAAATAATTTAATAATATTAAATAATAATAATTTTATTAGTCGGATGATAGTTGGAGAGGTCAAAGTGTTTTCTAGAGTTTTGAAAAACTGGAACCACTTGTTAAGCACTTTTTTAAAATTAAAAATTGAAGAGAGTTCTGAAAAACACTTTTTTAAGAAGCTGTAGAAGTGAGATTTGGATGTTTAAAAATGGGTTAATCTGTTTAACTGGCAGGAAGAGTGTGGCCATTATATTCAAGAGTTAAATTAAAGTAAGATTTGTTTGCAAATAACGGGTTTGATAAAATATAACCGTAGCTAGGACAGGTTTTTGTGACAGGGGCTGCATAAACATTTACACATCCTAAAGTATATTTTTTTAATTAAAAATTCATGTTATATTTTGTATATATATATGCTTTTATAAACATCATTATGATCATCATCATCATCATCATCATCATCATCATCATCATCATCATCATCATCATCATCATCATCATCATCATCATCATCATCATCATTATCATCTGATCCTCTTTTCTTTATATGTTTATACTCATAATATGTATGCGTAAAGCGCATCTCAGAAGCCTCTATTCTTTCTCTACAATACTCCGCATTTTTTACCATCTTTATTAAACATGCTTTATTAAACAGTAATCATTTTTATCATTATTTTTACAAGAACATCTTTTATAAAAACAAAAATCCTTTTATTATTCCAAAAAGCCAATGTAAAAAGATCCTGTCTGATGTTAAGCTCTGTTATTCTCAGTCTACAATTTTGCAACTTATATCAGATGTTAGGTTTGAGACTTTTAGTTATTCTTCAACAACGTCATTAACTAAAGTAAGTCTAACATTTAGTCTCTAATTTATGGGTCTAATCTTTTTACTACTACCTAGAATAAAGCAGAGTTATTTGCAAAAAAATCTTACTCTAATTTGACTCTTGAATATAATTGCTATACTATTCAGTTAAACACATTAACACATTGTTAAACATCCAAATCACTCTGGGTTCCTATGCTAAAGCTTATTCTTAATTAAACACTTCTACAGTTTGTGCTTCACACAAGATTTCCATCAGTCTTAAAAAAGTATTTTCCAGAACTCTCTTCAATTATTGCTAAATTTTTAAAAAGTGCTAAATAAGTGGTTTCAATAAGAAAACACTTTGACCTCTCCAACTATCAATTGATTATGTCTTTACTATGTTATTAGTTTCTTTATATAAAGGTTTTGATACTTTGATATTATATTTTGATAAATTATTTTTATCTAACTGCAGTATTCAAGTTATTTTTGAAGGCCTACACTCTTCTTTATTTCAAGTAGCTTTAACGGTACCACAAGGTTCTATGCTTCTGCATTGTTTTTTATCTACAATTTCAATCTTCATGAAAATTTTACATCTTAAGTGACTCTATTTGCTGACGACTCAACTTTATACTCTTGTCTTGACAAAAAATCTTCACTTTTTAATTGCTTAGAACTAACTGATTTTTAATCTGATATCTCCTTTCTAACAGCCTAAGGCTTGCAGTGGCTTATGGATTTATATTCTCAACTTATAACCCACAATTTTTGTTAGACAACAAAACTAATTTATTTACTGCAAAAAAGTATTGCAATAATGTTGGCATTCCTATGTTGATAAATATCAACCCTCTTACTCTCAGACAAAGTCTAAAAGCACATTCTAAATGTAGTTAGACCTGCTTTATCTGCCAAGCTTGAGCCATTCTCCCATTGTTGTAAGGTTGCATTTCTTTCTTTTTTCTACAAATACTATTATAGTCAATGCTCAAACAAGCTATCATCTCTATTACAATAAACCAAAACTCATTCTTGCTTGGGTTCTTAGTCAACAAGTTGCATCTTTTTACTGTATATGTCCCTTCATGCTATAAATTTTTTATTAATCCAGTTTTTTTCCTTGCACATCAAAAAAAAACCTATAACTCTTAGCCATCTTTATGTTTTTCTTTTATATATAACCTACAACTTTTCAAGTCTTCAGTTAACCATTTCCTAGTATTTTTACTTATTTTCTATTTTAAAGTAACTCATAACTTAATGGTGGTTGCTTGCAATTTTGTTGGAAGTAAATTAGAGTTTGAATAAATAAAAATATGCTAGTATTTAATAAAAATAAATATGCTAGTATTTATATAAAGTATATATGCTAGATAAATATATGCTAGTATTTATTAAATAGTAAACGTAAGCATAAAATTATGATACATAAAGTATTGTTAATTTTTTAGCTCCGGCTATCAACCCCTGCTAAATCTTATAGTTTTTCCTGGGCCAGATTTTAAAAAAGTCTCATTTTCAGTTGGGGACAAGGTCAGGGGCCCGGTCACTTACTACATAGTGGGACCCGTTGGGGGATTGTAGTAAGTGACCGGGGGCCCGGTCACTTACTACAATCCCCCAACTACATAGTGGGACCTGTTGGGTCACTTACTACATAGTGGGGCCAGTTGGGGACAAAGTCGGGGGCCCGGTCACTTACTACATAGTACTACATAGTCACATACTACATAAATTAAATTCATATCATCGTGAAATAGCAAATATTTGAGGTGGATCCTCAGGCTATTATCAAAACTTTGCAATTTGTTCAGATATAAGTCAATTTTTGTGTGAACTAGATGAAGAGTTTTTAATGAATTCTATTAATGAGGTTGCCATTTTTTTTAAACATTCAAATTAGAGGACAATAAGAAAAACTAGATGTGATAAAGTCATGATATAGTACAATATGATAAAAATTAGCCAC